TATATACATACAGATCTAGACATAAACGGATATAGAGATAATAGGTATATCGGTATGTAGACGTAAAGATACATAGATCGGTATAAACCATATATCCATATATATATATATGTACTTCTTTAAAGGGATAGAAACAGAGATGAAGATACAGCTACAACTAATGATGTGAATATAGAGGTATGTACTGATCCATGTACGCACATGTATACATATATATATATATATATATATGTGTGTGTAAACATGTACAATCTCCGTATGCACTGTTTTCTTAAGACAAGATATGTGTACGCATATGCAGGTACTACCATGTGTCATCGCAGTCTATTGTTGCTGCTGTTGTTGCTGACGTTGCTGCTGCTGCTGCTGCTGCTGCTCGGCGGCGGCGGCGGCGGCGGCGGCGGTGGTGGTGGTCGTGGTGGTCGTGGTGGTCGTGGTGGTCGTGGTGGTCGTGGTGGTCGTGGTGGTCGCCGTGGTCGCCGTGGTCGTGGTGGTCGTGGTGGTCGTGGTGGTGGTGGTGGTGGTGGTGGTGGTGGTGGTGGTGGTGAAGGTGGTGGTCGCTACCGTAAGCTCTGGACCCTAAACGGTAAACCCTAAGACTAAACCCCAAACATTGAGCCGATAGATGTACAAACTTGAAGTTGGGACTTTAGTCTCGGTGCCTCATGACTAAAGCCGCACATGGCCCATGACGACAAGAAAACACACAAGAGCAGACCAAGGAAAAAAAACAAATCCAATCAATAACACCAAAGCAAAAGCCTCAACTTGACGAGCAGAAAAAGCAGTGCAAAGAAAGGCCCGCAGCCTGTTCTAACTATTAGGCCATAATACCCCTTGTAGTAAACCTTTTTGACCCCTTTGAGCCCGGACGCTGAGCTTGGTGTACCAGTCATGGCCCGACAGAGGGTGCGGAACGTCGGGCGAGGCTTTGCTGTTCCAGCTGCTCGCAAGAATGCCCCACCTGAGAAGCAGGGTTTAGGGTTTGGGGATTAGGAGGAAGAAACTAAGAACCTCAGCAAGGCCCGTAAACCCAAAAAACTAAACCGCTAAACCCTAAACCCCTAGACCATCTCTGGAGGTGAGAACATTCACCGAGCCCGCGGCTCGCCGATGGGAGCTAAGTTCACAAGAGCCTCGATGCAAGGTTTAAGGCTTGGGCTTTCGGGCTCAGGGTTATGCCAGTTGCCGGTCGCCTCCCTCGTGTGCCACTGCCTCGTAACCAACATCGCACTAAGGCTCGGTCAAACTAAGCCGCAACGGCCTAGAAAGGTTTAGGGCTTAGGGTTTGCAGGTTTAGGGTCGAGATCAGAAGAGCTGTCACTGTACTCAACATCCTAAACCCTAAACCCTAAACCCTAAACCCAACATCCTAAACCCTAACCCTGATGCTCAGAACCCTGGTGGGTGCCCGACGCCAATGAAGATCCAGGACAGGAACAGAAGCCTCGGATGAGGGGATTCGAAATGTTATGTTTCAATATGGGCGGTTCTCAAAATTATGGTCCCTTTCTGGGTCCTTCACATAATACGGCACCTAATATTTAGTGTACCCAAAAAAGGACTTTAATTTTGACAACGATCCATATATGGGACCTTAATTTTGACAACTACCCACATATTATGTCAACTTGTATTCCTGTACTAACTGACCATCACACCACCCACAAACACAACCAGCTTAGCAACAAGATGAGCATGAAAAAGTCCATATGACAACAAGACGAGCAGCAGCTTCAAAAAGCAAGCACGACGACAACTACAACTTGAAAACAGCACATCCGGCGACAAAAGCGACTCTAGGCAGTGAGACCATGCGCGCACCATGACCATGTCCTATAAGCAAGAGGCTAAAAGATCCCTCGACTCGAGTTTGTGAACCTCTTCCAACTACAAATTAGTTCTGGAGCTCGGATTGAAGAGATGCCAGGGCACTTCCCTGCACGCTGCTTTACAGGAGGCTCCTTGCCGTTCGCATGATAGTCGACCTTACGAACATCGTGCCCTTCAACACGCACGGCCGACGATATAATAACATCATCCCTGCTTTAAGGGAGCAGGGTTTTGGCGCAAGCTTCGTGGTTTAGGGTTGGGTTTCAGGGCTTCGCAATGAGAGGTTCCTGTTCCCGAGACTCTCTGAAGCCCGAAACCTGCGGAAGCTGACAGGGCCGCACCCACATGCCCGCCGCGCCCATTGCCACAGCAGCTAAAATCAGCACCACCTGCGGCCAAGGGATCTTCAAAGGATCGGAAACCCAGCAAAAACTTGGAGGATCATGGGACCTGGTACGTATGGTTGTTAAGTACCTTCATTAGGGTTATCAGTAATTATAAGTCTAGTTACCTTAATAACGACCCTTACCAAGCAGCATGAGTAAGGCTATAGGTATACCGGCTCCGTGTACTCGTAGTCCCAGTATGTATAGCCTGCATGCAAAGTACGCTGATCGAAAGTTTCTTGAGGCTCTCCTGTCCTAGCTCCCAAGTTTTAGGGGTCGGCACGAGGCGACCGCAAATCCAAAGAGACTCGGGTGTAGGACTTCAGTTGCGGATTCAGGGTGATGAGCTTTCAGTGCTGTTTAGGTTTGTGGCTTATGGCTTATGGCTTCATGCTTTGCTTTCCGCTCCAGGCTGAAGCTTGACGCATAGTCCGTTTGCATGTGAAAGACTCTCGGCGCACCAGCATCATGAATACGATTTCAGCATCAGGGTCTACAGGCTCGGATGTTGCAAATCTGTGTGAAGGCTTCCTGCAGATGTGCATACGAAGAGGGAGAGGGGGCAGTGCACTGATAAAGCATGAGGCCACGTGTCAACCCAGCGAATGAAAGATCATATGCCGAAACACGAGCTTGAACAAAACCTAAAACCTAGAATCATGCACTCCCGGGACAGAAGAACTTGTGCAGATGCTATGGTGCATGTGATGGTGAAGACAACGTATGTTTTTTTCTATGCAAACCTGTGTGGATAAATACATACGTTCATACATCCATCCATCCAGCCATCCATCCATCCGTAAATGCAGACATATGTGCATGCAAAGCGTACATGTGTGCATCCCTGAATATGCATGTGTCAAGATGCAGATGAACATCAACACACAAGTTAGTCAAAAGGCTGGAAATGCACAGGTGGATGCCCGGAGATGTATGCACAGACAGCTGCATGTCCTTCTGCTTTGCGATTACATGCAGCTATGTCTGTTCGTTTCCTTGCCAACATGCAGAATCCTATTCATTTAATCCGGCACTCTGTGTCTCTGGGAAAAGACGATGAAGGGAACCCAGAGCGGTATGTGCTTATCTGTTTCGGCACGTAAATACAAATCAATAAATGCATCCTGTGTGTATCGGTAACATCTACCTGTATGTAACTACAAGCAAACATCTGTAACTTTCTCTGTCTATGTGAGTGAACTGGTTTCATGTACATGCTTGACCTTTATGGTTGCATACAAAATGTACTGGCCCGTGCATGAGCAAAAAATATGCATACATGTTCATGTGTACGTACTTATGTACATACTCATGTACATACAAAAGTACGTATGTATGCATATATATATATATATACATATAAAGGTATAGATACGTGATATCTGTCTCTCTGTACAAGTGTGAATAAAACGTGTGTGCAAATGATGCGCGTGCCCACGTGCCAAGCATCAAACTACTACACACCCGCATCAAGGCGACTCAGGCTCAGGCCAGGGTTTGATTCACAGGGAGTCCCGTGAGGCTGTTCGGGATGCCTGCTGCCAAGCAACACGCCACTCGGGGGGGAAGCCGAAAAAAACAGCTTCAAAACAATGCACTTCGAGTTTCTATCCTCTGATGTCGGACCGCTATCCTGTCAAACCCCAGCTCCTCAGCTTGCACTCCTGTCTCACGCCAACCCTAAACCTCCCTGAACCCCAAATCCTAAACCCCGAACCCCAGACCTTAACCCTTAAACCCCAAACCTCCAGCAGCTGGCAGGATGTGCAAGGCAAAGAGGGCGGCCATGGGCAACATGATCTTGCTGTGCTCGTAAAGTCCTGTTCAGAGCTTAAGGTTGCTGTTGCTGTCGTTGTTGCTTTTGTTGTTGTTGTTGTTGTTATGTTCATTATGGTTAGTGTTATTATCTTTGCTACTACTCCTACTACACTACTACGCTATTACCACTACTACTACCACTACGACTACCACTACCACTACCACTACCACTACCACTACGACGACGACTACTACTACTTCTACACTCCTACTACTATTGTTGTTAGTACTTTTGATCAAAAATTTTGTTATGGTTTGTCTGCTTCTGACATTAATGCTCTCCTTATTTTTACTACGACTATTGTTGTTGGTAGTGATGCTAGTGGTAGTAGTAATAGTAGTAGTAGTAGTAGTAGTAGTAGTAGTAGTAGTAGTAGTAGTAGTAGTAGTAGTAGTGGTAGTGGTAGTAGTAGTAGTAGTAGTAGTAGTAGTAGTAGTAGTAGCAGTAGCAGTAGTAGTAGTAGTAGTAGTAGTAGTAGTAGTAGTAGTAGTAGCAGTAACATTAGCATCATTAATCAATGCCAATACTATTATGTATATCAGTAGTATCATTAATACCAATAGTATCATTGGTATCATTGGCAATTAGTAGAACTAGTATCAGTATCATCGCTAGTATCACTTGCATCATCAGTATCATTCGTATCATTCGTATGACTATTCTCGGTTTTGGTGTTATTGCCGATATCAGCCTTAATGGCATTAGAAGAGTGTCAAGCATCATTATCCTTCTTATCAGTCTTGTCATTCAAATCGTTCTTACCATTCTTATCATCCTTGTCAGTCTTGTGATTCTTGTCATTCTCATCATTCGTATCATTGTTATAGGTCTTTTCATTCTTGTCATTATTGTCAACATCATTGTCTTCAGGGTTGAATTGCAAGCTGCTCGGAAGCTTCGAAGGGTTATGGTTTGAATGGGTCTTGAAAGTGGTGTAGCAGTGTGGCATAGTTTTGTAGGGTTCAGGCTTTGGGGTTTAAGGTGTGCCGTTCAGGTGTGAGATGGATTCGTAGGGTTTTCTGCACTGAAGAATGCCTCGATTCCCGATGCAGAGGGCGAAGATGAAGAGGATTTCCTGAGAGCACATCCCCATGGACATGAAGTCAATGATCCAAAACCTCTGCCGTCGAGGAGCCAAGCACACTCCGAGCGCCGTGTGCGGTATGAGGAAGAGATCCTGGGGTTTAGGGTTTGAAGTTGAAGCTTTAGGGTTGTCGGCCATTGGGCGAGACTTTGACGCGAGCCTTCGCACATTGCAACTTGTACTTCGAGGTGATCCCGAAAGCCCGGTAGAGGTGGTACTGCCTCGGGCAGGACAGATCAGGTGCAATTCAGCTCAAACACCAAAAAGATACCGTAGATCCAATCCAAAGTCCTACAGGCCGGTACATGTAAATGCTGACGCAAGGCCCACTTCTACGAAGTCAAAGCTGCAGTCCAGGCGCGTTGTCAACCCAGAGCACTGCTTTGTGCGGTTCACACTGGCACATAATGCCGCATCGTAGTCAACATCCGTGAAAGGTTGCGTCTCCTTCCGATGGGACTCAAAGTTTCAGCTGCACCGGGGATGACATTCGTCATGCATGAAACCTGGTTCGGGAGATCTGCTGGTTACGGACACAGCAATGACAAGAAGAATGCCAGTCATGTACCGTCCTAAAACTTAGATTCTTTGGCATAATTCCGAAATCCTCAACCTAAACCCCTACATTAAACCGCATGCAAGCGATCTCCCAGTAGAACGGCATCTTCGACAAGTTCCAGCAGGCAAAGAAGCCCAAGGCCGCTGCCACTCCCTGAGCAGAACTTACGGTTTTGGACTTCGGATTTTGAAGGCTTTTAGGGTTTAAGGTTCTTATTGTTTATATACGGTTTAAGTTTAAGGTTTGAGACATATAGGGCAACACGTCAACGTTTAGGGTGCCAGAGCTGGGGTTGGATGCTGGGGGTTAGATTTCACGTGGCTGGATCTCTACATGCAGGGGCGGCAGGTCTGCCAGTTACAATGAAATGAACCAGCAGTCGGCTAAGTTTAGCTCTAAAGCCCCTTTGGCTGGAAGAAACTCTTTGAGAAATCTTATTGATGGAAGCCGCTGAAGAACGCCGATAAAAAGGCTTTGATATAACTTCGCAGTGTGCTGAACGAGCGAAGATGATGCTGCGCTATATAACATGCACTCGCATATGTTTTTAAAGACAGCCCATCATGTCCAATGCGGTCCAAGCAGGCATGACAAGCGTGTGACGAAGATGATTGGCCACTGCGTGCTTCAGCTGAAACATGTTATGTGCAGGCGAGCGGCCCATCTGACGCATTTCATGACTGATTAATGCCGAACTCAATCACCACAAGCTGTGTCTACGGCACAAGATTGTCAACAATGCTATCAACACAACCACAAACAAATCCAAATTTGGGGCTTGTGTTTCATGGATGCTTCGAGAAGTGACATGTAAAGGCATACAATATTCATCCGTTATAAGCCATGCGCAAAGCTTGCAAACCTGCAAGCCAAAACATTGCAAGAGAACTTAAGATCGCGTTGAGCCCGCAGATTGTTTCTTGAAGACATCCGCGAGATGTCAGCGCTTGTTTCACATTCTATTCGTTGTAGCGGCTTCTATTCTTTGTAGCGGCTTCGCCTCTGAACTTCTGAAGTTCGTATAGAAAAACCTGCCTTCGCATCAATCAACATTAAAATAATCACATGTGTAACAACATGAAATCTTGCAAACGTCTCACTTCGAAAACATTTCGCTTGGCACCTCCGTTTCTGCAAGTATATTCAAGCCTACTGTCTTCGCTCTTCGCACTGAAATTCAAAACCAATCTTGTCGAATTCATGTCGCTCCAAAATAAGTTCTCGGCTCAAAACCGAAAAACTTTGTGACCGTCTCCGCATTGCCAATGTTGTTGGCCGAATCCCTGCAAACACTGTACTTTGTGTGGCAGTGCTGGTGATAACAGGCTTTTTAAGTTCTTATGTCTGGACCGAATATGTAAGTTTTTCTATCGAATGTACACAGCAGGCAAAACATTGAGGCAGCTGCAAGTGTTCGTTCTGGTTTTCGTTTGCGCTTTCAACCCAGGCGCGACTACAAACTGTTTGAGAATTCTTGATGTTTGCTGAGGCAACAAGCTCAAAAATAAAGATGGCGCTTGTAATTCCACAGTTTGCACCTAGTTTCGTCGACAAACAAAAGTTGCTGTCGAACTTGGTTGACAGCCTGCAAGATTTTTCCTTCTTGGTCCAAATTCTCGCGTGCATCTTGCTTTCCACTTCCGCTGAATCGCACGTGGCAGTTTGACAACTGTTTTTTTTGGCGTGAACGGTCCTCGTTGACAGCGGCTGCTGCGCTCGGTCCCTATAAGAAGCAAACGGTCAGAATAAAGTAACTAACGACTGTACAGAGTGAGACATAATGGCTGCGACATACAGACTTAGCCGGCAAAATCGTTCAGCCTTAATAAAAAAGCAATCGGGTCTACAGCGCTCACTTGCCCCGCTCCCCAATTCATGGGTTGCGCAATGGCAAAGCATGTAGCATGGCCCCGCTTCCCGTATCGGGTCGCGCAATGGCGCATATATGCATAGTGAGCTATGGGGCACCGCTGTGGCGAAGAATTGACAACCAAGCGGGGAAAAACCCGGTCGCGCGCCCCGCTCCGTCAACGCCGTCGCCAGCACTGTAGCAATGCCCAAAAAGAAGATCTTCAGATCATGGTCGCCTCTCATTCAACGCATCCAAAGCATCTTCAAAATGGCCGGTGACATTGTGTCCATGGCTATCACAGCTCTCATTGCGATACCGATGAATTGGACGCATCAAGATCCGTTCGCACCCTCCATGAGTTTTTGGCCTCTGCAGGCCTCGTCGGCTGCAGTAGCAGTGCTCGGTCCCAAGAAAAACAACAACAACAAAACAGCGGTGAAATGAGAAGCGCTACCACCACATCTTGTCATTGTTTAAGCTTGGTCTGCAGACCAAATCTGGTCACAAACTCCATCTGAGTTGTGCCTTCGGCGCTGCTCACACGCGGAGACAGTTCCAATAAGACAGAAAACAACATTAACTTGACTTACTGTAAATGATCAATAGAGTCGAGCAGCTGTTTTTTTCATCTGTTGCATCACCTGCTGGACGCATCTCCAGTGAACCATGTTCGAGTAAGAGTTCTTCTTTCACTTTGTGGAACCGCTTTTTTCGGGCACAATCTCCATTTCAAGCTCCGTCTCAAACGCAACTTTGTGGCTCGAAGAAACTGCCCAAATAGTCGATTGAACAACTGTCAAACTGCCACTTGGGAAAGAGAAGTGGGAACGTCGACCGACGTCGCTCCTCCCCCTCGGCACTTACGCACTGCTTCTGCCATCCAGAACTTTCCACATCTCACCGTCTGCGCGGTGGCGCAGATTGGCTGCAACAGCATGTGCTCTGTGTGTGCAGCTGAGACCGGCAAAGTGGTTTTGTTAACTTGTCTGTTTTCTAGATGACCGTCTCATCGTTTCGAGTCATTCAGAAGATCGTCACTCGTTTCTAATTGATGGAATGAACACACCACAGTATCGGAGGGTGTCAAATGATGCTGATTGGCTGTGCAACAGTCGGCGCGGCCCTTCCGAGCGGTGCAGAACGACCGGCATCCGCAGCGATGACAACGTTCCATCTTGTTCTGGCTTCCCAGGCGCCATCCACATGAAGATGAAGTGCATTCACCCGGGTCCACACAGCACTGTGCATGCTGATTGTCCACCACCTTCGGCCGAAGGAATTATTCCCCGGAATGGGAGACAGTGCTCAGTGAATATCGACCCCCGCGTGCAACCCGGTGCACTCTTCCCCAAGAAGAAGACATCATGTCCCATCTCTTGCGTGCGGGTGATTCATCGGCTGGGCCCGATGGTTGCCCATATGAGTGCTACCGCCAGCTGCCCACAGAGTCTGCTCGCGCTCTATATTCGCATTTTTTGGATATCATCCTCGGAGTCGCCCCGCCCCCAACACAAGCATTGACTTTCATCCCCAAAGCGGACGCGGGCCAGTATGCGGACAACTTCCGACCGCTTGATATGCCCGACACGGCTGCTCGTATCATTGACTCTGCTGTCTTTGCGTCGGCCATGGCCGTCATTGCTCCTTGCCTCAACCAATCTCAGGCCCTTGTCAGTCAATTAAAAGAGGCGCCTGCTAATTTTTTGGTAGTCCAGGACTGCTTATTGTCAGAGTCGCAGCCTTGCAATGTTCTCCTTACCGACATGGCCAAGGCCTTCGAAAGAGTCAACCCCGGCTGGCTGCTTGAGGTCTTAGACCGCCTCTACGTTCCCCAGTGGGTTCGGCAATATGCCATTCACCTTCTCTATGGTCGTCAATCTTTACACCGTATTCAAGGCCTCCTACTACCGCCGCTTCGCATGAGACAAGGCCTCGCCATGGGACGAGCTACATCCGTGCTTCTATTCTGTGTGGCGATGGACCCACTCATTTGTTCGTTACATCGCATCCCTCGGGTGCGATTGCTCAAGGCATACATGGACGATAACTCCACAGCAGGCTCAGACGTTACATGGGTAGGCGACGCGCAAATCAGGTTCGCTTCTCTCTATAGTGCTGGCTTTCATGTCCTCAAGCACCAGTGCTTCTCTTCTGTACGGGTCCCATTTGCCATGGCAGAACGCTTGAGCCATGCCAGAGCAAAAGGGGTTGTCTCGCCTGTACCACTAGAGTTCCAGGATCTCTTCCATCAAACGGCGGATTCTCATTTCACGGCAGCCAGCTTCACTGAGGTCTGTCGTAGGGTTCACCAGTTGCACCCCACTGACGCTCCGGGAATACAGTGGTTTTGTTGCAAATCAGGCGAAACCCTTCTCCTAGTCACACAACATGCTCTGCCCGCTTACCTTGCGGGACATTTTGCCAGCTGCGAGATTTTCAGTGCTTTTTTGCGAGCCCCGTGTCAATGCAAGTGCAAATCCTCTTTGCTGTTTGGACGTGCGCCTACCCCGGAGCAAATTCATCAACTGGATGCCACACCCTGGGGACCCAAATTGTGTACGGAATCTGCGCCGGTATTAGGCTTTGTATTGTGGGGTGCGCCAACATACGTTGGCAGCACGGCTGGCCCTTCCACCCTTCCGAAAGCGCAAATCCTCCTCACGGGCCAAAAAGCGGCATCGTCCATTGCCCGTAAAAGAAAGTTATTCCAGCCGCTCCGCCAGTCTTTACCGGAGCGTGCCATATGCTGCCGAGCATATCTGCAAAGCTGCCTCCAATACACCCAGCAAGTCATTCCGCCAGATGCAGGCGAGCAGCAGCGCACCCTGGTCGCCTGAGCTAAATACGTTCTTGGGGGTGGAAGACATTGGCTCGAAGCAAAGCACGTCAATGGCGTCTTTCGCATTTTTAAAATCCCGCAGCCCGGTACCTGGCGGTTGTCATGCCCTCTAGGGCGATTGGGGTTTCTGTTGCGATTAGCCCCAAAACTTGCGAT